GAGAAGCAAAAGAGCGCAGCAGAAAAAAAATCCCAACCCTGCGGAGCTCTGCCGCTGGAAAAATCCTTCCTGGGGCTGGCACACAGGAGGAGCTGGGGGCACTGCGGGCCCGGGACAAGRGATGGAGGGACAGGACACAGGGARTGGCTTCCCACGGCCAAAGGGCAGGGATGGATGGGATAATGGGAAGGAATTMCTGGCTGGGAGGGTGGGGAGGCCCTGGCACAGGGTGCCCAGAGGAGCTGTGRCTGCCCCTGGATCCCTGGMAGTGTCCMAGGCCAGGTTGGATGGGGCTTGGAGCARCCTGGGACAGTAAAAGSTGTCCCTGTCATGGGACTGAATGTCCTTTAAGGTCCCTTCCAGGTCCATRGGTCCATGATCCACCCATAAAACACCCCACTTTTCCTTGGATTCCTGTCCCTGTCAGTCCCACTCCTGTCCCCAGGGCTGTCCCCACCAACCCCTGACATYCCGGGCTCTTGTCCCGTGGACAAACCTGCTCGGGGTGGGGCTGGATTTTCCTTAAACCCCCAACTCTGCCCCACCGATGTGGGACACTGGGCCCCCTGATCCTGCTGAGCCCAGAGCATCCCTCATTTGTGCCTGGGAAAAGCCCTGTGGCTTTGCCCATCCAGGATTTGGGAATGCTGGGATGATCTCAGACAACCCCAAGAGAGCCCCCAGTGCAGCCCCATTCTCGCCCCACATCTCCCTCCAGGAGGGTTTTGGGCTTTTTTTGGCTTTTCTGGGTAACAATAAAAACTTTCATTGGAGCAAGACCTTGGCTGGCCAAAGTGAGCCTCGTTAATTCCAGGGAATTGTTTCATCTCGGCTCAACAGGAATAATGAATCTTTTTTTATTATTTCTTTTTTTTTTACAAGATGAGTTGGTGAACAGCCAACTTCCTCCGGGGGAATTCCTGGGGAGTGTTGATCCCGGCTGGAATTTACCTTGTGGGGGAAAAAAAATTAAAAAAGGAGGGAAAAGAGGGRAAAAAAAATAAAAAGAGAAGAAAAAAGAGCGAAGGTTTTAAAGGCTCCAATGCTGCTATTCATAACAACGTGTGATTGAGCTCAGCCTTCCCCTGACAGCTCCCAGATGGAGCCAAGGCTTTTCCACAACACCCTCACACAACACTTCCCTGCAGAGCCAGCTCCAGCCCCAAACAAAAATCGGGAGCACACAGGCGCCTTGTTATCCTGGGGAAAGCCGAGGAGCACCAGAGCCTGCAGGGATCCGGTGGAGTTTGGCTCGGCCCGGACAATCCAACCCCGTGGGGCTGAGCCCCTGAGTGCCCCCAGGGGTGCAGGGCTGGCTTTGTCCCGGGGGTTCTGTGAATTCCCAGGGCTTCGTGTTAATTCCCAGGGCTCTGGGTTCATCAGAAAAGACGAAAAATGTCATTAAATTGCTGCTGGGCTAGTGGGGCTTGAAGGAGATTTCGGAGGTTTTTTATGCTTTAATAAAATATTTTTTGTGCCTTTTCAGGCTGGGAGAGCACCCAGAGGGGCCCTCGCTCGAGGTGGTGGTGGCACAGGCGGTGGCACAGGCGGTGGCACATCCCTGGCACAGCATCCCCTCTGCTTCCCCTTGGATTGGCAGGGATGGATATGGAATATTCCAGATGGCAGCAAAGGATCGGGACTGAAGGGAGCAGCTGCTCCACCCCGGGGCTGAGKGATCCATGGATCCATAGGTTTGGGAGGCTGGGAATGCCGTGGATGGAGGATGGAAGGGCAGAGCTTCTCTTGGGAGCCAGCAGAGCTGGGAGGGAACGGAGCCCAGCCCAGAGTGTGCCCGCTCCTTMCTWGTCCCTCTCCAGCTCTCCTGGAGCCTCTTTAGGCCCTGCAAGGGGCTCTGAGCTCTCCCTGGATCCTTCCCTTCTCCARGGGAACRYTCCCAGCTCTCCCAGCSTGGAGAGAGGGGCTCCAGAGGGGCTCCAGCCCTCCATGACCTCTTCTGGAATTGCTCCAGCAGCTCCAGGTCCTGCTGATGTTGGGAATCCCCCACGAACCTCATTAAAGCTGGACGGGGCTGAGATGGGATGGGGGACAGGGACCCTGTGGCAGCGCGGGCAGCACCTGGTGCCACCCCAGGAGCCCTGGGCACATCGGGAATGCTGCGGGAGGAGCGGTCAGGCTGATGGATAACTGGGATTCCCTGCCGGGGGTGAATTCAGGGCTCATTTCAGCCCCAGAAGGGTCACCCTGATCCTGCTGTCGGCTCCCAACATGTTCCCCACAGGCACAGCATTCCCAGTGGGACCAGGATCACCCACAGGCAGTGCAGGGCTGGGGTTTGGGGAGAGTTTCCGCTCTCTGGGAATTCGGGGGCTGTTCCCAGGCATCCAGGCGAGTCCCGGGCAGCTGGCAGTGCCCGTGGCAGCGGGGCGGCTCCCGAGGCGGCACTGGAGCCGTTCCATCCCGCTCTGCCGCCGGGRGCCGGGATATTATCCCAATTCCTGTTGTGTAACCGCAACATGCCATGGATTGCGGGGGCGTAATCCATGAAATCTCGCCGGGGAGGATTTGGAGCTCTGCGCTTCCCGCCCCATCCCTTCCCTGGGGATAAACCCGGATTCCCGGGAAAGGCGCTGCAGG